CACAGACACATCCCTTCCTCACAAAATCAGGGAATTGCATACTTAGGGCCAGCTTTAGACCTTCTGGAGATCACAGAGTGCTTCCTCACCCCTTCCCAGCTCACGGATTCAATGGGAATCCACGTATCACCGCTCTGAAGAGAGAAAAAGGATGAAAGCCTCCTGCTTGGGGTTCTGCTAACAGCTGGATCTGGTTCCTGCTGTAGGATTTCGGCTTAATTAATTGGAACGTTTCCAAAACAAAAATGTGTATTTCTCTGCTCTTAACCATCCTCAAGGGGAAAAATGAAAACACCGATGGTGTCTGGAGCATTGCTGTTTCACTCTAAAAAACAGTGCTCCTCCCACCCAGGCATCCCAATTCCATTTGTTATCCATGGGAAAGACCCCGAAAGTCTTTGTGGTGGGAGCTTTCAGCCTCACTTTGTTATTTTAGAAAGTTCTATCCTGGGAGGGATGGACTGGCAGTACTGACACTGCCTGTGGATTCAGTGGTTCAGTTTAACCTCCAAAGTTTTGAAAAACAAAAGAAAGCTGCAGTTTCTAAAGTCCCTCTGGGTATTGTGTGTGTGAACAACCATATTTAATTATGTATGTGAACAACCATATTTCAAGTTGGACTCCGTGATCTTGGAGATCTGTGTTTGATTCTCTGTTTCTGTGAATCTGTGAAGCTCAGGGCTTAATGTCAGAGCAGGGCTTCGGGTCATCCTGCTTTGGGGTGGTGTGTCTGGTGCTTTTCTTATTGTCAGCCTAATTTTGTAGTGGAATTTGTAGGATGGGGGCGGGAGGGGTGGGGGGGTGGGGAAGGAATATCCAAGGGAACTGACAGATGGTTCATGTTTTAGCTGAGACTCCAAAATGCACGTGGAGGGCTTCCTGAGCACTTTATCTCTGGGGAAATTGTAATTAGTGGTGTACCTTGGCATTAACTGCACCAATTTTGTTGCAGGGTATGAAGAAGAGCGAGGGCTGTGCCGTGATTCCGTTATGGATGTGAGCATTGGTCCTCCCGGGCTGTATTCCCAGAGCAGCTGCAATGGATTCCAGTGACCTTGGGCCAGTCAGCAGAAGCCTGGTTCTACTCTGAAGAGTGAGTGTGTAAAAATGGCATTTCCTACTCAGCAGATTTGGGCTCTGTGTGCTCTCCAAGTCACATCTGCTGACTTTGGTGACAAAAATAAGTTCTTATGGCTTTCCTGCTCTGTGAGCACTTCATAAACACGAGAGCTGGGAAGCAGAAGCTGGATCCCGTGCCTCCTTGTAGGATTGATTACTGTAAATCCCAGCCAGCAGTGGGGCTGCACTGGCACCACTTGGCCTTGCCCGGCTTTCCTGTCAGTGCTAGCAGTGAGATGCATGGAAGAAATGGATCCAAGTTGATTCTCCTGATTGAGTTTTAATTGCAGTTGACATTTCTCGGGTTTGAAGAAATCTGTTCATCCATAACATGGTTACATTCAAAATAATTCATTGGTCACAATCTTTTTCAAAATGGAGTTGTTTTAAGCAAACTCTCCTCTCTCTGGCAGGGTTCTCATTTTCCCTGAATTACTCATGGCTACTCCATTCCATTGTCTGCTGTTTAGTAGGAAGAGAGGCCTCCCTTAAAACAGATGCTACCAGCTGGTGAAAAGGTGAGTCTTGTGCTGGAGATGTGCACTGATTTGTGTGCTGGATGTCCCCAATATTCAATTTGGGAAAGTCATTCAGCAGCAAAATTAACGGCAACTATTTTAAAATTGCCTTTACCTTCTGTGCCATGTCCTGACATACTTAGGAGAGCTGATACATCTCCTGACAGGTGCCAGGAGTAGCAGCATAAGGTGCAGAATTCTGCTGTCAGGACAATCATTTTTTAGTTCATTTTATACAGGCAAAATCTATCTTCATATAAATTTTTATGTGACCTAGTCTCTTAATTAGGACGTGCTGTTGGTACTTTTTGGGTTCTGCAAGAAGGCTGCGACAGGAATATCACCTGTGAAAGAAATCTGATGTATCGTTACTTTGTACAACAGAGCCAGCTTCTATAATAATACACAGATTTCATGAGAGGCTCTTATAAAAATTAGGTATTGTTATTTTACAGAAGAAGTAGAGGCTGAAAGCAGTGAAATTCAGTTTTGAAAGTACTCTAAAAAGGCAGAGCTGGGAATGGGATGAGTCCCACTCCTTCCCAGCTACGCTACCTGCATGGAAGAATGAGCCTGCTTACATCCCAATTTAGTTTCTGACTTCACCTCAGGTGAGAAGTTCTGAAGGACAAGACCAACAGAGGATTGTACTGAAATGTCTCAACCCAAAGCAAGGGTGAGAGGGAAGAGGAATGGATGTTTCTTAACTTGCTGTGGAAGTGGGGCCTATTTGGCTCGGTTACATGTATGCTCCATGGCATATTGGTCTGAGTTAAAAATCAATATTTCCAACTAACGAACTATAGAAAGGAATAACAAAAGAGTGCTCTCTGACGATTTCTGATTTCTGCCTCTTTCATCATGCCTCTTTCTTTCAGTCTGCAGATATTTTTGTTGATAACGCAGAAGCCTCTGATTTTGGCAGGTTATGCGGGGAAGAGAAACTTGCAGCGTACAGGGAATGTGCATTTTTAGGCAGGGGAAAAAAACCCACAGATAACCAGCTATTCTGGTTCCTGTGCTTACAAGTGAAATATTTAACCTTGAGAGGACACAGTGCCAGTCTGGGTTAGGAGTCGATGGCAAGGGGGAAGTGAAAACCTCTCCAGTCTATTAAGTGCCCTGCATCCTTGGAGAACATTAAATCATCCCTTACACATGCTTTACATTTTAAGTAACTTTCCCAATAATTGTAAAGGTTAGATAGAAATGGGACTGAAAACAGTAATGGAATCACAGAGTGGTTTGTGTTGGAAGAAACCTTAAAAATCATCTCATTCCATGGGCAGGGACAACTTCCACTGGCAGATGCCTTGTTCTGAATCCCAGGTCAGCTCTTAGGGGGGAATTGTGCAGCTGCTGAAGCCCAGCCCCTGGACTCATCCCTGAGGACTCTGATTTCTGCTGGAGTGGTCCCTGTTTTCCTGCTCCTTTCCCCACACACAAATGACTGAACAGCTTGGGAATCAATCCCAGAGCCACCACAAGGCGCAGTGCTGCTCCTGAGAATTGATTTTGGTCTCCTGGAAAATCTGGCTGCCCCATTAACTTGGGAGGTGGCACCTCCTGCATGGCTGAGCCACCCCCTCTTCTCAGCTAGAGCCCTTGGCCAAAATGAATTGGCCAGGACAGAAGTTGAACCTGTGAAGAGTTTTGAGTCCCTAATGGAGGAGGTAATGGTGTTTAAAACACATAAAAAATGCAGCTCTTACCTCTTCCTTCCCTCCCACCCCACCTCCCCTAGAGGAGAGAGGAAAACTCCTTTATTTTCACATATTTCTGTTTTATTTATGAAGATGCCACAGCACTAGAAATATTGATTAATGAATAATTTCCCCAGATTTTGCAGTTCAGAGAGGTAAAGCCAAAAGGGACTTTCTCCATTGTTTTGAGTGACTATTTCCTCCCCCAAGCCTAACTCTGAAGTTTTTTCTGATGCCTTTTGTCACTGGCTGTCTTTATTGCTGATACAGGCACGTTGACACTTTATTTTCAACTCACGCAGGGGTTAGCAATATTTCCCTGAAAAAAGCTGTGCTAACTCGTAACAAATCTGTCTATTGAAAGTTTTAATGTTGGATGCACAGTGCTACAACCAAATGAATTGGGTTGGATCCAGTTTGGTTGGAATCCAGCAGAAAACACACTGTTTCTCTAAAATTAAACAAGTAAAACTTTGGGCTGTGTTTAGAGACACAAAGACACTAATATAAATGTTATTACCAGGAGCACAGTGAACAGGAAAAATAATTAACAGTTTGTTGATAAGGAATATTTCATTTTCTTCCACCAGTTCTGTTGTTTATTTAAAGAACTGAACGACCTGTGACAGCAGGTTACATCTCCCTTTGTGCAGAAAAAAAAGTTTATTTTGTAGTTTGTTATCATAACTGGAAGATTCACTGATTAGCTTCGTGTGGCAGAGCATGTTCATCAGGAAGTCAAGATTTTAACTCACCTGTCCCACACCTTCCCTCTAGTCCTTCCTAGCAATTCCACCCCCCAAAATTTCCCCACCCCAGTCATTGCCTCCTGTGAGAGATCATTATTTTTGGTCTCTCCTCACCTGTCCCTGCCCAGCTGAAACACCTTGCACCTGCTGCAGCCCCACTCTGAATGAGTCCCTGCCTGAGAGGGCGTATAAAACCCTCTGTGTGCAGCAGAGGCACTGGGCTTGGGAGGAGCAAGAAGAAGCTGAACCCCTCTCATCTTTGGGGTTTGGAGTCAAGGTATGGGTTTCTCACTTGCTTTTTGGCAAAGGGAATTGATGTGTGAGCCAGGACCTGATGGTCTAAAGGTTTTCTTCACTTTTTAGTTATGTGGGTTTTCTTGGAAAAAAGATTGAAGGAGGAAAGCACAAGTAAAGCTGTTTATCTTTCGCTGTACTGGCCAAATAGGTGCTTAAAACAACACATCAAAAAAAGGGAAATTGAACAAAGCTCTTCTAATTCGGATGTTGTTATTTAGGGAGTTGTTCTCCTTTGCAGAGGGTGTATTAGGGGAAGGTGACCTCTGCAGCTGAAAACACTGGAGGACACTCTGTAATAGATGGAAAACTCCTAAAGGGTGCCTTAGGCCTTGTTTTCACAGCTCCTCGTAAGCAAAGAGCCGCACTGAGCGCCTCGGGTCGGGCGCTGAGGAAGAGTTGTGCGCGGGAGCCGAGCGCTTGGATGCTCCAACTTCCCTTTGCAGAAGCAGCGAGCGCCAAAGGCGGCTGCGGGCGGCCCCTCCCGGGGGCTGCGGGTGTCGGGGAGCACGAAGCCCACCGGAGGCAGGCGGGGGCCGGCGGTCGGGCGGAGCGGGCCGGCCCCCGACACCGCCCGCCGGTGGGCGGCCCGCTCCGCTCCGCCCGTGCGGCCGCGGGGCTGGGGCAGCGCGGCGCCGAGGCACCGGGCGGCGGCGGCGGCAGCCAGGTGAGGCCGGGACACACACACACACACACACACACACAAGCACGCAGCCGGCATCGCACCCCCGTGCCGCCTTTGCCGCGGGGTTACGCGTTTTGGGTCGATTTGTGGCTTTTCCCGACGATGCTCGGCTGCCCGCGGGGCAGCGCATCCTCGGCGCGGCTCTTTGTTCCCGGCGAGCGGCTGGCTGGTCCCTGCAGCCCCGGGGGATGGCGATGGGGAAGGGGCAGCGCGGGGTGCCGTCCTGTCGGGATGGGGGGTCCCGGTGGGCTCCCTCGAGAAGTCTTTTGGGGGGCGGGTGTGTGTTTCTGGCGGGGGTGGTTTGGGGGTGACCGCCGCTGTCCCTCTGTCCTGCTGCGGGCCTGGGCAGGAGGGATGCCCGGGCGGCTGTTCGCGCTCGATCCTCTGCCCGGTGGGGAAAGAACGCAATTCTGGGGTGTAAAGTCACCTGTAAATATGACTAAGGAGGACGGGAGGTGGACCTGTGCCCGGCAAGCAGGCGGGCTGGGTGGAATCAAGCCTTGAGCCAGCGCTAATCCCCTTCTCTGGACCCCACGCAGGCTCTGCCCAAGCCAAAAGCGCCCGACAAGGTGCGTTTAAATCCGCTTTTAAACCTTCACCTGCAGGGACTCGGGCTCCTGCAGCGCTCCTGTGTGGTGCTTCTGTCAAGCTTAGGTGAGGCGCTGAAATTGTGGAGCGTTTCTCGCTGGTTGGAATCCGAGTGCTGTCTGTCTGTCCCTCTGCTCCCAGGCAGGCTGGGGAGCGGCGTTTCTGTCCTGCTGCTGCTTGGAAACTGCTGCACCCTTTGGCCTCATTCTTCAACACCCCCTCCTCCCTGTCTTAATCCCTCAGGAATTCGGTAGACCTTAGACTTTTGTGGTGCCGGAGACCTGGCACGGGTCAGAAGCCACGGAGAACTGCGCAGCTTTTACTGGCAAATCCAAGTAGGGATTTCTATAGGTGGTCCGGGTGCAGTTCCCAACAAAGCAAATGATCGCTTGATGGTTGGGGGAATAATGCCTCAAACATGTCATGTCCCTGGCTCCTCAAAGAACTCCAGCTGGAATGCCGAGGCTGGAAGTGGAGGTGATGTATTATGTATTAAGGTGCCTCACTGGGACTGGTGGGAAGCTGGCCATACAGAATATTAATATCGCGTTTGTTTGCTTTTAAGGATGCATCCTCAAGGGTAGGTGAGGATGTGTTCCTCTTGTGTGTGCTCGTCTCGACGTAATTTTATTCGCCTGACTTTGTGTTGGTGCCTGGCGTAGAGTCGTGTCGCGGCTGGGATTTCACTGGGCTGTTGGAGGTGGTCGGACTGGTGGAGGTCTGTTTACCCGAAGTGTGTGCTGGAAGGGCATCAGATCCCAAATTCACTCGGATGAGCTGGTCAAGGGCATAAAGCACGATGAGATGAAGGCATTTTTTCTCGGCTTGTGCACAAAAGTAGGAGTTGGAGCTCTGCAGTGTATTATCTGCTGCCTTTTGTATTCAGCACAAGTAATGAGGCTTGGATGGCATACATTAGCACCCTTTAACAGAGCACTTGACGGCTGGCAGTTGTTTGACTTGTATGTTTTGGCTAAATCTTCACATTATAAGATTTGCTGATTTTTTGTCCGGTTCCCTTAGGAAAAATTTCGGAGCTGAGCACGCCCCGGAATGTTTAGGCAGCCCAGGCTGACACCAGGCTTGTGCTTGGAGGTGTGAGAAGCTCTTTTCAAAGGCGAGACAGATTTGGCTGGGGCTGACCTGTTCTCTCTGCTTTATGATGCATGCAGCCACTTCAGCTTTTGAGTGCGAGTGTCCTCCCTGTGTCAGAGGGATTGTTAGAGCAGAGTTATTAATTCAAGGGAGTTTAAAACTTAGTGCTTGTTTTTCCACACCGTTTCGACAATTTGGGTAGAAACATAGCCATAACTTGTCAAAGACAGAAAATAACGGCTTTTTTTTTTTTTGGAGGGGGTGGGGAGGAAGGGAGTTGTTTTCTCTAAATAAGCTGGCTGGGTGAAGCTCTTAAAAAGCTCTGAGAGGGAATAGCTGCACACAGCTGGGACGGAGGGGGAGCTTAATCCTTTGCAGCATGTCTCCACAAACCACTGGTCCATGCAAGGAGCAGCTATTGAAGGAGAGACATCTGCTCTGCTCAGCGCTGGTCCCCTGCAAACCTGCCCTGCTGGAGTGACCGTAACAGGCTGGGACTCCTTCTGAGCTGGCTTTTGTTGGGCCCCCCCAAGAGCTGATCTCAAAGAAGTCTCCAGAATTCAGAGGGGTTAATGGTTTAATAACTGCAAGTGCTAATTGTATGGAGCAGGCAAGCAGCCTGGCTCAGAAAGATCCAACTGAGTCTGAGACTGTCTCAGCTGGTGACCAATTCATATTTATTGTCCCTCAGCTTCCTGACTTCCCCGCTGAGGTAGATAGTTCTTATTCTTGTGGGCAGCTCCTGGAGATGTCCAGTTTTGGCCCGTTTTCAGCCTAGCAATCCTTTGTGTGTTTTTTTTCCAGCCTACCAGGTGTTAAAAGAAGTTATTATTTTCCATGCTGGAGATAAAGCGCCCTGGCTGCCTGCAGTTGTGCTGCTTTTGCGACTGGAGGAACTGCATCTCCTGGGATTTGCTGTTATTGAGTGCAGGGGAAGTAGCTGGCACTGCCTCTTGCCCTCAGTGTGTGCTTCCTATTGGAAGCAAGGATTAGTTTTCCACTGAGAGCTTGGCCAGTGCTTGGCAGCTGCCTCCAGGGCTTCAGCTCTGAGGATGCCAGGTGAAATCTGGGGACGAGGAGTTCCTGCAGTATGAAATATTGAGTTACTACCTTCAAGCTGGTCACGGGAGAGCTCAGGCTTACTACAGAGGAGGTGCTTGGTCAGGGGCAGTGTGCTCCAGCCTGCTGTTCCAGCCTGGCTGGGGCTGGAGAGCAGGCTGGCTATAAAAATAGCCAGATGGAAGGATAAATGTAGCTTGGTGCAGCTTGAGGAGCAGCCTGCTCTGCAGCCGGGTACCTGCAGCTTCTGCATTCAGTGGAAGTGCTTCAGCAAGGTGTCAAACTCTGCTTAAGGAGATGGCCAGGTCACTGCTGTTCATACACTCTCTAATCCAGCCTCTTCCCAAAGCTAAGTAGATCTTAAGCCCTGACTAATCTTCTTTGAAGTGTGAACCTGTGCCATTATCCTGCAGCAAGCTCTGTGCCACTATCTCCTGCTTTTACTGAGTGTGAAGGTCTAGGTTAGCTTACATCTGCCTGTTGTGGATTTCCTGAGCAAATAACTCCAATATGATTTTTGCCCTATAGAAATGTAGGATTATGACAAACAGGGCTTTTCAGACTGGTAGAAACAATACGCAGGGCCCCAGGAACTCTTTTATCAGGCTGGTATTGAGTGCCCATGTTATCTACCACCCAGAAGGAGGAAAGGGTCTAGTAAATATGTGCTAAGCTTGTTGGGAGGAGATGAGCATTTTGGTTCTTCTGCTAACCACGTCCTGAGTATTGTGGGCTATTTGAGAGCCTAGAGCTAGAAAGCTACAAAATATCTGTACAGATGTGTATATACATATGTATAATGTATTTAACTGCAAGAGAAGTGCTTTTCAAGTGCAGCTGGAGTTCTGTTTATATTTAAGCACTGCTGAAAGTATTTGTGCCACCTAAATGCTCCTGGCTTCTTGAGAGGCTGTATTTAAAGCCACACTATCTTTTAAGTAGAGAAAACCCAACTTCTTGATGTTTCAATATGCCTGCTCTTAAAAGGCACTTGCTAAAGGGGTGTTGTGATGAACATGATTTATATTCCTCTGCATGGTGAGGCAGATGCATGTAGTTAGGCACTAACAATTTAACTTGCGTAATATATTCTTAGTGCTTTTTAATTACAAAAGTGCATAAAGAATTAGCCTGGGAAAAGAGCTAAATATTGTCATTTTTCAGCTATTTTTTTTAGGGAGGGGATAGAGAAAATAGATGGGTGGCCACCCATCCTTCAGAGATAGAAGGTGCTAAAAATAAAGTGGAAGGTGTCTAGGCTGGTGAAGAGCTTTTTGGTGGCTTCTGCTTGTCCCTGAGCACCTGGTGCATGTGTGTGGCCTGTGATGGGGAATTATTCCAGCAGCTCAGACTGCTGGGATGAGGCTTCAGGGAGAATGGAAAAAGTGACTCAATGTGCCCTGAAGGCTCAGCCAGATGCTGGAGCCTGCAGTGGTTAATTCTGAGCTGTGTTGCTGCATTCTCTGGGTACAAATGTGAATAATGCTTCTGGATGTGCTGTTTGGGTGGGGAAATGAGAAGTGTGGCAGGTTCAGGGATTTATCCTGGTGCCCATGGGCAGGGAGACTGCACAGGGTGACCATTGCTGTTCTTTGGAAGACTGAGGGGTGGTTCTGACAGCCCCAGCCTCTTTCCTGACTGATATTTGTTATTCCTGCAGCCCAAAGGGAAGAGCAGTTCACTTGGGAATGATAAAATCTCACATTGTTCCACCCCCTGCTATGGGCAGGGACACTTCCCACTATCCCAGGTTGCTCCAAGTCCCATCCAGCCTGGCCTTGGACACTTCCAGGGACTCGGGGGCAGCCACAGCTTCTCTGGGTAACCTGTGCCAGGGCCTTACCACCCTCAGTCAATAATTTATTCCTAATGTCTAATCTAAACCTACTCTTTGTCAGGTGAAAACCATTCTTCCTTGCTGTGTCACTCCATGCCCTTGTCCAAAATCCCCCTCCAGCTCTTTTGGAACTACTTTAGGTACTGGAAGATGCTTCAGTGTCCCTGGAGCCTTCTCTTATCCACCTTCCATCTCTCTCAGCCTGTATCCATAGCAGAGGTGCTCCAGCCCTGTGATCTACTTGGTGGCTTTTCTTTGGACTTATCCCAACAGGCCAAGCTCTTTCCCCTGTTGGGAGTCTCAGAGCTGGAGGAACACGTGAGAGAACTTGAAGCTGCTGATGGCTGGAGGCCCTTGGAGCAGAGTCTGCCTCCTGGAGCAGCACCCCAGATCTGCTGTGGCAGGGGGACACTTGCTGTGTGCGTGGCGCTGGTGTGACCACGGAGTGGGGCCTTGGGTGGGGATGCTCTTCTGCTCTGGAGTGGTGGAGTGGCAAGCCCAGGACTGAAGCACATGCCCAAGGGAGCTGGAGCTGTGTGCCTGGAGGCAGCAGAGCTTGCCAAGGGCAGGCTGTCAGCTGGCTGCATCACTGCTGGCCTACAGGTTCAGTGCTCTCTTGGAACTCCCAGCTAGCAGGGTGATCCTGGACATGAAACTCTCTGGAAGTGCCTCCGTGGTGCAGTGCAGCACGGGCACTGTGCTAATGCAGCAGAGCTGCAGCTTCCTCTGTGGGGCCAAGGACCTCAGCCAGGACATGATGCAGCCCTAAAGCCTCCCGGTGTGGCTCTGGTTGTCTGCTGTCCTCCACAGACCCCTCTTGTTCTTCCTTGGGCTCCTCCTGTGCCAGTGCACACAACAGGGTTGGCCAGAACAAACCTGAGACTTCATGGCCCTGACGAGGATAATTTTTAGACTTGGCTCAGGACAAGCAGGTTGATCCACACCATTGCTTGCAGGTTTGATGCCTGCTGGGTAGAGTATAGCACTCTGCTGCTGGGATGAGAGCTGGGCAAGGTCTGTCCTGGGCTTCAGATCAACATTTGGTTTTTGTCTGGCATCTTCAGGTAGGGTAGGCTAAGAAGAGTAAAACAGATGGGGGAATTCATTGCTTGGAATGTGTAGGGGAGTCTGCTCACAATTGGCCATAGACTTGGTCTCCCATTATTTATTTAAGGCCCTGGGTCTGTGCTTGGTTATGGATATGTGTAATCTTGGTTCCTTTTTCCCCTTCCAGGTCTCTGGATTTGTCAGCCTTGCACATCTCCTCCCAGCCATGAGGAGATCAAAAGGATTTAATATCTGTGTGGTCACCTGCAGCATCCTGCTCTTGTCCTCCAGCCTGCCATGCCTTGCTCAGCCTCTGGAGGAGGGGGATGTGACAAAGATCCAGCGTGGCTCCTGGGTGGGGAATGGGCCGGAAGATGAAAGGACAGCCATGGTGGACTTGAAAACCAATCTGAGCCCTTCTGAGCAGACAGTTTCTGAAGAGCCATGTGCAGTGTCAGCACAGCCATCTGGGACACCCTCAGATGAAGCTTTCACTGAAGAAGTGCTCCCTGCCAGCCCGAGCAGTGTCCTGCCCAGCAGCCAGGGCCTGGGGGGTCACCCCTCTGCTGGGCATGAGGGGGAGCTGGCTCCCACTGAGCCACAGAAGGAGGAGGATGAAGCACTTGGGGCCATGCTGACCACAGCTGTGACCACGCTGAGCCCTCCAGTCCAGGAGGAGTCTGGTGGCCCCACAACAGAGAGTGGTGTGGCAGTGGAGCCCAGCTCTGCTGGCCCCTCAGCAAACCCCATTTCTGGGACCACTGTGGAGGAGGAGGAAGCAGAGAGCAGCTCACACCCCTCAGTTGTGCCCCAGGCCACGCTGAACCCCAGCTCTCCCAGCTGGGAAGCAGCAAGTGACCACGCTGTAGTTCCAAGTCCCCAGGCTGCAGGTGTGACCTCTGGGCTGGAAATGCCAAGAGCCCGCACAGGGAGCCCTCTGAAATCCCTGGCTCCACCAACACCTGTGGCTGCTAAACATCCCCTTGTGGCAACTGAAGCCTTCCTTCACCCACAGGCAGGGACAGGTGTCACACAGCAGGAGCTGCCCACTACGGCTGGCACTGTCACCGTCCCCTCTATGGACACTGTGCCACCTGACTGGGATGACACAAAACTGGGGGACATCACTCACAGGGGAAGTATGTCTCGTGAGGAGGTGACAGAGGAGCTGGGGACAACAGAACCATCCCAGACCACCCAGGAAGGTGTGGGGGAGGAAGAGGATGCCACAAGAGCCATGCCCTCCCCAGTGTCCCCTCCACCAGCGCCTGAGCTTGCCAAGGAGAGCAACTGCACAGTGCCAGTGCAAGGGGAGGAGCTGCCAGCAACTTCCCCGGGCAGCAGCGCTGCTTTCCACGCTGGGAACCTGTCAGATGCAGGCACAGCTGATCTTGGCTCGCTGGAAAACATAAGTGCAGTCACAGCAGAGGAGGAGAAAAGCATCCCTCCGTCACAGCCGGAGGCTGCTGTGGTGACAGATACCCAGCCTGAGCTCTCTCCTACTCTGGAGAGTTCATGGAAAGGTAAAACTTGCCTGTTACAGACACTTGCCTCTCATTTCTGGGATTTGAAGTGAGCTGTGCCAGCAGCCTGTGAGCCACTGATGTCTTAAATGCCTTTTCAAGGGTGCTCAGGCCTGGAGGTCTGTGCAGGGAGCTGCTGGCACTTCTGACAGAAACTCCTGGTGTGGTCTCCTCAGCCCGTGGTGAAGCTGTGCTTGTCCCAACTCTTGCCTGCAGGCAGAATTCCTCCTGGATAGCCTGCACAGGCTGATGGTGTCACCTTGCCCTGCACATCCCTCCAGAGATGGCACCTTCAGCCTCATCTCAGTATTCCTGCTTGGTGTTTAAAATGTAAAAGGAACACTAAAAAAAAAAAAAAAACTGGTCAGGTGTTGGGCAATGACATGCTTCCAGGTTGATGAGGACTTTTTAATTGCTGGGTATCTTCATTTGTCCCTCTTTGGTTGCAGATGCAAAGGGATGATTTCCCTTCACTGCATCCGAAAGACCTAATTTTTGCTGTAAAAGAAAAGCAGCTAATTGCAGGCTGGTGCTGCAACCTGACTGATTAATTTCTAGATTAATTTCCAAGCACTTGACTTGTCAGCAGGCTGCCTCTCTGCTGTTTCCCAGATGTTGGGGAAACAACACTGTCTATTAAGACTTGTGCAAGACTTTTGCATAGCTGAGGCTTCAGTGGGAGCTGGACATGGAGGCTGGACCTGCTGCTGGCCCTGTGGCTCTGGAGTTTTTAAAGCTTGGAGTCCTGTTCCTTTTGTATTGCTTCAGAGGTGTGCTCTGCTGCTGCCAGCTGTGCTGTGAGCCTGCCCTGACACCTCTTCTTGCTCTAGGTGCCACTGAGGAGGTGACAGCAGCTGCCCAGGAGGCTGATGCTGCTCTGCCTGCTGTGACAGAGGTTTCTGGTGCCACCCAGGGGGCAGGGGCTGCCAGCTTTCCTCAGGAGAACAGCGGGGAGGACACCCAGATGCTGACGGCTCCCAGTGCCACCGAGGTGCTGCTGGCAGCTGGTGCTGCCTCCACGGGGAGCCCTGTGGATGCAGAAGGTAGGATTCAGCTTCAAGGACTCCCACACAAGATGGGATGGTACATCTGAAACCTGTGTCTCACTCCAGTCTCAATGCAACATCCAAATTTAAGTGACTTTTTTTTTTTTTTTGCTAACCTTCTGTCCTCTGCCTCTAAACCTGGGCTGCTACTGCTTCTGCTTATGCCATGAGATCCACCACGTTGGAGTTTGCCAGCATATGGATTTTTTTTTTACCCCAGATAAGTGGAGTAGAGGTTAAAAAAAATGCCCCAAACCAAACAAGCTACCTACCTGTGCTTGCTAGCAAGCTGCCTTTAGCTTTAGACACTTAATTTGTTTTTTATTTATGGAGGGAGAGTTCTCAGTTCTGGAACCCAAGGCAGTCACAGATTGCTGGTGCTCAGTTCAGAGGATGAAAATGTTTCATCAGGGTTCCATGGGAGCCAGTGGTGGGGGAAGACATCCTCCTGCAGGAGCCTGGCAAGTCCTTGGGTGTGGAAACCTGCAGTGATCTTCACCTCCACTGAGGAATGGTGTTTTGTGCTCAGGCTGGTGTAGCTTGTGTAGAAATGCTTTAAGCAGTCATGTTCAGGTAGCTGCTGCTTTGGTGTCACCTTGGCATGTCCATGTTGGAGCCTGTCTTCCTGACAGGAGTGTAGCAAGGGCTCCCTCAGCACGAGGCTGACTTTGAGCTGGAGTTTGTTTCTGTAGTAGTGGGGGGACCATTGTAATGAAAATGCTGCTGGGCAGCTTTTCTGGCAATTCTTGTGTTGCAGAGCGTAAAAAAAAAAGCTGTTTGCCTTGTATCTTTAAATTTAGGGTCTGTTTGTAAGGGGCAGAAGGTTCTTCTGGCAGTTTCCATTAGTTGAATTTGCTTCTGGGATTTAATTATGAATTCCACCAACTTTTACCTTTGTAATGAACTGTTAAATCTGTCACTTGGCTCAGTTCTTAACTGGTGGCTTGGTGCTCTGATCTTGCGAGGGTGTGGTGATGAGTAGTCCTTAAAGCAGTGGAATTAAAACCTTTAAGGGTTCCCCCCTCATTAAGGGGAACCTCCTTTGCTGGCTGCCCTGGAGGAGAAAGTTTCATTACAGCAGAGCCACATCTCAAAGGGAGCAAAAGCTTAGTAACTTCCCTTGAGTTGAGTTTCCATTAAGGAGTTTCTTGGGTTTATGTAAAATCTCATTAGGCTGAATGGTTGCTGTTTCCTGTCTCCTGTAGATCTCACAGATGGGATCCTGCTCACCAGTGAGAAAGCTGCTCCAGCCCTTGGTGGGATGTCTTCTACCCCAGCTGGGCAGACAGAGGAGCCAGCCAGCAGAACTGTGGTCCTGGTATCTCCAGCCTCGGTGGCCTCCTCTGCCAGAACTGCTGTTTCCCCTGCCAGGAGGACCAGCACAGCTGTGACCTACGGGCTGGACCGCCTGGAGTCTGAAGGTACCCCTGGGCCCCAGGGGCAGGGGGCCTCCTGTGGGGTGCCACCCCTGCCCTGACAGCCCCCAATTTGTGTTTGACTCGCCTGTGTGCACATCTTCCTGTTCCCAATAAAGGTGTTGGACAGCCTGTCCTCTCTTGGGAGGCACAGGAAGCAAGCAGTGAACAGTGTTCTGGAGGATGCTTGAAATTCCAGTGGCTGGGTTTTTTCCTGGCTAGGGAGCAGCAGTGGTGCTGGTGTTGCAGCAGGGTCTGGCTCTGCACTCCTGTAATGCTGGTGTGTGCATCCACTGTTCCAGGGAGCACTCACCAAGGGGTGCTGAGGCAGAGAGATCCTGCCCTGGAGCTGGTCTGCAGCTCTGCTCTGCCTTCTGTTCAGCTCACCCACAATTTTTCCTGCAGAGGTCTGTTCCTTGCTCTTTTTCCTACTTGAACTCCTCTCTGCTTGCTCATCCATCCAGTTCTATGCTCCAGTGTCTGGGCTGATACCACCTGGCAGGAATTAATCTTTCTGTCTTTTTTTGCTCCCCTTCCTTTATCTTGACCTTCTCTTGCCTTAGTGTTTTACTGCAAAGGTTGGCAGCTCTCCAGGGGTGGCACTGCCAGATGGTATTTCTCCTCTGAGTAGAGGTGGGGTGCTCTAGACAACAGCTCATCAGCATCTTTTCTCTGCAGGAAGCAATAACTCTCACTCCTGTTAAGTTTAGAGGGCAGCAGAAGCTGGGAGTCTTCCCCACTGCATGTGCCTGGCTTACTGCTGGCTTTGAAGCTTTCCCTGAGCTCTCTGGGACTCCAGCTGCAGCATTTTGCCCTTGCCAGGATGAATCCTGGATGTCTCTGGCAAGGCAGGGATGTGGTGCTAATGGGAGAGTAGGCAGCATGGGTCATGTGTGTGGGGAAAACCTGATCCTTCAGGCTGGGAAATAAGGTCTCTGCTTAGCAAGAGCAGTGTGATTCAGGAGGCTAAAGTGTTTTATAGCCCTCTGGGATCTCCTTTAGAAGCCTGGGTTTCTGCATGGGAAGATAAGAGGGATTTCAGTTTCAGCTGAGCATTGGTCTCTCACAATTTAATGAGACCTTCTGCACAGGCATATAAAAAAATATCTCTGCTCCAATACAGGACTGATGCAACTTTCTTGGGTTCCTACTGCACTGTTTTCTTTGCTCTGGGCTCCTCTAAAGGCAAGTGTGGGTTGGAGCTGGGGCCGGGTGCCCTCAATGATGGGGACTCAAATGGAAATCTGAGTTTCTTGGCTCTGCAGGTGCCTGTTCTCCAAGGGACATGGGGCTCTTTGTGCATCTGACAACTGGCACAGCTTTTGTGATCTGAATCTCTTCTGCTCAGCCTGGACCTCTGTGCAGGGAGCCAGAAGGTGCTGGGGAGCATGAATCCATATCTTGTAAAATGGGACAATTACAATTATCATTTGGGGGAAAGGCTTTCTGCCTGGGGATGGTGCTGCCCCAGTTAAGCACAAACGAAGGTTTTGGAGCTGCAACTCTGCTCTCTCAACTTTTTTTTTTTTTTTTTTTTTTGCTTAATGGCAGCTGGGGAGTATCACATCCTCGTGGTAGAGTGGCATTTGGAAGCTTAGCTCCTGAAATTACAGTTCCTGGTGTTTACTCTCAGAATATTTAAATGCTGCCAGATCCAAGATGTTTGGGGGGGCTTTCCTTTAAAGCTGCATGGAGTTCCAGCCAGGATACTCAGGTTTTGGGGGATGCTGTTGCAGGCACATGATTGGGTCCCTAATGAGTGATCTTGGCCCTCTGGGGAGGGGCTCACTGTTGGAAGAAGTGCAAGGAGCTGAGTGAGCTCTGCTGCCTTCAGGGGAGTCCTGCTGACTTGCCTCACTGAAGGCCTGGCTCATCATTAAATATAAACCCCTGCTGCTCAGCTCACTCTGTTTCTTGGGGACCATCTGTGCCAAACTGCCTGTGGTTAATTGCATCCATGTATTCACCTGCCTGGCTTGGATGCAAAACTGTTTTAAAAATCAAATTGCACAGGCAAAAATGAAAATCTGTCTAGATGAGCTTATCCTCCTCTCTGGTGGACTCTGGAGAGATGAGCTGGGTGACACATTTCCTCCTGCCTTTGACTCCTTGGTGAGCTTGGTTCTACTTGCCCTTCCTAGTCAAAGAAATCCTATAAAGGGATTATAGGATATGGGGACAGGACACAGCAGAGGATAAGGCTTGCTTGTCTGGGGGAATTGATTATGTATTTTGTCTCTGTGCCTAGAATTTCTATGTCTCTAGCAAGCTGAGCACTGCAGCTTTCTCTGTAGGGATCCTGTTCAGAGCTGGCTTACTGAGGACCACTGTGGGAGCCTCCCAACACCCTTCAAAAAGTGACTCTTTGGAAAGAAACCACATTGCTTTTCAACTTGATTCCTGTGCTGTAACATCTGCTGTGGTATTGGCAGGGGTGGCTGCACATCCCCAGCGTGGCAGGGTTTGGCAGGTGGGACTTTCTGAAGTGGCAGGACATGTGCCATGCTCCATCTTCTGCAAAATCCCTGCAGTTTCCAGCTGGAATCTGCTGGGTGGAGCACACCAGACTCTGGTCCTGTCACTATGGGTGAGGGTGAGTCTGTATCTGGCCCTGCAGACTCAAGATTTGGTTCTCCTGTGTGCCTCCACCCTGCCTGGACAGCAGGGAGTCGTGGCACCACGGAATGGATTGGGATGGAAGTGACCTCAAAGACCTTCTCATCCCACCCCCCTGCCATGGCAGGGACAGCTCCCACTGTCCCAGGCTGCTCCAAGCCCCATCCAGCCTGGCCTGGAGCACTGCCAGGGATCCAGGGGCAGCCACAGCTTCTCTGGGCACCCTCACACCCTCCCAGGGAAGAATTTCTTCTTGCAGCCTGTCCTCCTGCTGGGAGTGAGCTGCTCACACAGTTCAGGGGTCAGGAGAGCTTCTGGCTGTGCAGGGTGCTCAGAGCTTTGATTAAAGCAGGAGCTGCTGTGCCTGTTGTGTGGTGTCAGGAGCAGCCAATAGCTCTGAAAATGGCAACTTAAAAATCAGTTGCTCCAGAGGAGGAGGCCTTAACCAAGTGGCTCTTGAGTGTGGAGTGTTCCCAATTAATTAGGATGGCTCTCAGCTGGCAGAATTTGGAGTTTCATGTGCATTTGCAGCCTGCTGTGAACTATTTTGTATACCACAGAGCAGCATAGGTTGGAAAAAACCTTCAAGACTGAGCCCAGCTTTTGACCAAACACCTCTGTGTCAACCAGACCACGTCTAGTCTTTTCTTCAACACCTTCAGCCATGGTGACTCCACCTCCCTGGGCAGCCCCTTCTAATCACCCTTTCTGTGAAGAATTTATTCCTGAATACTTCAGAACTTGTAGCCATTTACATAAATTTACAAAAGATTCTTCAACTCTCCATTTTTCTTCTGAGCTGTGGCACAGTACAAGGAACCTTCTGTTTTGTTTTTTGGGTTTTTTTTGGATGTGAAGGGTATTTTTCCCAGAAATTAAGGCTCTGAAGGTGATTGCTATTTGGACCTTGACTGTATGGATTAAGATCTGCCTCATTAAATCTCTACAACCCTGTTAAAAAGTTAAGTTAGGATGCAGAGGTGTAAATAAAACAGGCATTTAACCCAGCATGGTTAACTAGCCTGATATTATAGTTCCTCACCAGCTCTTTGGATATCAACTAAATTGGCAAGGAACATATGATTTAGAACACGTGCAGAATGAATTATTAAATGGTTTTGGTACGCACTTTCCTCTTGCATCTTCTTTATTGCTGCCACTGAAATGGGAACTGCTCTGTGTTGACCTCTGTCTTCTTCACAGCAGGTGCTGGCTCATCCCTTCTTTTCCTTTGTAGCAGAAAATGGTGAAAAAAGTGTCAATTTTTTTGTATCAAACCCAACTATTTCTTTTTTTCCTCCTCTCTTCTGGAAGTGTTTGATACAGATGTGCACAGTTTTTCTGTACAACCCAAGCCAGGACCTCACTCCACTCACAGGCAAGAATTCTTTCCTAATCTCCTACCTAACCCTGTCCTGTCATGCACTGGTCCAAATTCCTTTTCCAGATTTTTTGGGACCCCCTTTATGCGCTGGAAGGGTTTCTAAGGTCTCCTTGGAACCTTTCCTTCTGCAGGTTCTCTGTTCTTTGTGATGTTCTGCCTCCTAAAGGCTGGATGACATTTCTTAGTCTGACCTGTTCTCACCAGGCTTTGTTTGAATTTTGAACTGTATTAATTAAAAAAAAAATTCACCTAAATATCACCTCACTGTTGTAGCTTTCTCCAAGCTGGAACAAAAACAACAGATAAACTCCCGTGGCTGCTATTATTGGAATGCAATTGGGCTGTGTGAGTGAAAGTTTTTAATGAGTTTGTTTGTTTTAATCTGAGGATTAAGCAGTTTGCCCTCCTGGCTCAGGGGAAGGAGGTGGGTTCAGATAAGCAGGGCTGTGGCAGAAAAGGCTCTGCAAGGAACATTTTCTGCTGGAGTTGCTCATGGCTGAGGTTCCTGTGCAGGTGGGAGAGTGTTGCTCATGGGGCTTTTTTGGGAGCTTTGGGACCAGAGGTGCTGCAGGAGGGAGAAGAAGCAGGAGCTCAGACTAGAAATGAGCTGAGTGGACTCAGTTATGTTCCCTTTGCCTCTTTGCCTCCTTTTAGCCCTCACAGGACTTGAATAAAGAGACTGTAGCCCATAATAACAGACCTGCTCCCCAGTATGCATCATCTGTGATGGTCCAGCTGGGTTTGTCTAGAAAATAAAACTGAAATTAAATGTTTTCTTAACTCTTGGCCTGTTGGTTATTCTGTTTCCAGGCAGTGGGGTTGAATTGAATGCTTCTGGAAGAAAATACCAACAGCTTTTTCTAATGAAAATTGAATTAGTGTTTCTGCTGCTGGGTTTTTTTGTGGGTTTTTTTTTGTTTTGTTGTTGTTTGGGGACTTTTTTTTGTGGTTTGGGGAAAAAAAAAACAAAACAAACTCCTATGCCCACAGCCCTTTTCCTGGGAAA